AATATTATGTAAATATATTATATTTTACAGCAGAGGAATTCTGGGATGTTCATGTTCTATCATTGACCTGGTTTCAGAGTTAATTTTATCTTGAAAAATGTACTGGACAAGTGTTGATTTTTTGAGTGAGATAAAGATGGCCCTTATTGGTTGCCTGGCATGTATTGCATGCATTAAAAATATACTATCGTGATTAAAACCTTTTATTTTATTTTTTATTCAACTGTATAGTTTCAGTCTAATAAAGAACATCCAGAATTATATTACACCAAATAGATACTGAATAGCAAATTCATAATGCTATAGCTAACTTTGCACACTTTGATTTTTATCATTGGAAAGGAAGGTAAAACGCTTGCAAGACCTATTTCTTTTATGTGGTTTGTTTTACCAAAGTTCCTGACTTTTGAAGTCTTCCTGAAAACAAAAACAGCTAAGAATTTTCTGTGTTCTGCTGAAAAGTAGCCAACAAACTGGTGGTGCAGAAAGCTGTTTAAAACACAAAACCACAGTTCTGCGTGTGTGTACCTGAGAGCATAAGGAATTTTAATCAACAGGATTTCATAACATTTTGATTTGAAATCTGTTATAAGCAAGTATTGTTTGTCAGTGGTAGTTGTATTTGTATGCAACAAAATGCTTATCTGTTCTCTGAGTATTTTTCTTGTGTGTACAGGTTTTTCTTCAATGCTGTTGTTTCTGCCGTTCTTGGTGTCTTCTTCCTGGTAGTGGTGATCCTGTATGTCTTCATCCAGTACTTTGTGAATCCAGAAGAACTCCGCACAGCTCCTCAGTTTGAAGGTATTTCCCCACCCACTTAATATTATATATGCTCTTTACACAGTTGGGTTAGAAAATTACTATTTTTGGTTAGAAAATTGTTGTGTGATGTCAGTACAGTATTGGGAGACTGTAATTTTCTGTTAAACGTGCTGTCTCTTAGATAAGAAATGGAAGCCGTATCTTTTCCCTGCTCTCTTGTGGCTTTCTAGGTGAAAATTAATTTCAGTACCCATTTCCAAGAGTACAGAATATAATTGCTGTGCATAGGTCACCCTCTTTATGCCTTAGCCCTGTAATAAACACAGGTTCTAATGACACTGGCAGCATACAAAGGGTTTTGGTGTCCATTAATGGTTGCTGTATCTGATTTCCATAGTCAAGCTCCTGAAGCTTTGGGCCAATGGTCTAGAGCAGTGGTTCCCAAACTTCCTCAGCATGACCCAATTTATGGCCCCATTTTCTCAGTATGGCCCCATTTCCTTAGCAGGGCCCCTCACTTCCAACCCACAGCCCCCGACTCTGTGACCCCACCTGCTGATGTTGCAACCCCACTTGGGGTCACAACCCACATTTTGGAAACCGCTGGTCTAGGGTAAACGCTTGTAAAAGCATATGAGTTCTATTCTCGAAAATGACTTGTGTTTTCTCAGCCAATAATAGGATTTAGGCTCCTAAGTCATCGCTTACTTGCTTTTGAAAATGTTAACCCTGATTTGTGGTGCTCCCAACCCACATTTAAAGTGTAAGAAAGATGACGAGTACTTTGCTTGCTTCTTAATTTGCATTTGCATCTCTGAAAAGATGATGTGCTTAGTTGATTCCCCTTTATTTTGCCCCAAAAGGAGCCAGTGGAAATGCAACATGGCTGGCCTTTCTTCCTGCTGCTCCAGCGGAGACCACAGCAGCTGGAATCCTGGTAATCGCGGTGATCACTGTACTCTTGGGAATTGCATCACTCCTGCTGCTGGGACACTTGTTGGGATTTCATCTTTACCTTTGTATGTATTAATTGTCTCAAGGCAGGCAGGCAGTGACTTTTGAGAAACACTTTCTCAGTCTATTGTGATCAAAGGTTAAAAATATTCATAATTTTTTTTCCTTGTTCTTGAAATTTAGTTTTTAAACAATAAGACACCTGTAACTTTATTGTTTATGAATGAGATTTGCCTATTTTAGGCTCATCCTCTTTTTTGTTTTGCTCTGTGGCTCTTGTTCTTTTCTTCCTCCTCCTCCTCCCGCCCAACACCTCCCTCTTGATCGTCACCTCTTCCTACTTCCACAAATGAATCTGCGTAATAATGGCATTTTTCCACGTGACCGATTGATCTCACTGGTTTAATGTTTTCTTTTGCCGAAACATAGAATGAGCTCTTCATTCCTGTTCCAACTTTCTTCATACTGGGTCAAAGGTCTGCAGTGGCTTTAAGGACCCTTTAAAAGCCTTGCTTTTATCTGGCAGAGGATTCTTCCAGTGCAGACACTGAAAGGGGGCTGTAAGGGTGTCTCCCAGGAATCCCTGTGCAAGCTCTGACAGGGTGGCACACTTGAGACAGCATACACCATGGGGGGGTTGCTGTCACTTAAGCCCCCAAACTATCTAAATCAGGCTAGGGCATCTCCAGCACCTGGAATAACTCTGCTTTGGGCAGGTATGAAGGTAGCTTAATGTCACCACTACCCACTTTTCTAGATCTGGGCTTGAAGTTTTTCTGCTGAATCTGTGAGGTGTAACACAGAATCACAGGGGTGGAAGGGACCACACAGGTTCTCTGCTGTAATCCCCTGTTCAGATGCAGAATTTCCTGTTCCTAAGCTAGGCTTTCCAGCCTCACCTTGAAAAGCTCCAGTGAAGGAGATCCCACAACCTCCCCAGGCAGCTTGTTCTGCAGTCCTTATAGTTACAAAATTTCTCCTGAAATTTAATCTAAAGCTGTTTTTCTTCAGTTTAAACCCATTGCTATGTGTTCTGCCCTTTGGGGCAAGAGAAGACAGTTGTTGTCCCTCTTTGCTGTGGTAGCATGTCAAATATTTGAAAACTCCCAAGTGTCCTGTTCCCCCCCACCCCCTTCTCACTTTCCACCATTATTTTCCTTTCTTCAAGTCTAACACTTGGCGTGTCTACAACTAGTTTAACATTTTTGGGTTCCTAAAGCACAGGCATTTTCTCCTGTGTGTAATATATGAGTTCATAAAGCATTCTGGGTTGGTTTTTGGCAAAATTGTACTCTGCACATCCAAGAACAGTATGTTAGAGATCTGGTGTGTGTGCGTGCACACGCACATTTTCTCTGTGTAGGTGTTTGTGTAATATTTCTCTGTGTAGATAGTTTCTTTTTCCAGGGAAGATATCCTGGAATTCATAACATGATTTTTAGGGAGATGGTTGGCCATGTTGGTCTGAAATCAGATAAAAAGCAGGGGAGGGTGGCATCTTAGGAAGAAACTGATAGAGAGGCATGAACTTTCATAGGTGACAGCCTGTTTTGTCAGATGTTAAGTTGGTTCATAACATCTGCATATAAAAAAATTATGCCTCTCTGAACCTGACCTGCTTTCTACATGACTTCTACAATGACACTTCCTTCCCCTCTGTCATACTGTATTTGACCAAATGACAAGTGCCAGGGATGGTTCACCATTGATCCAGCTGGCTTCTAAATATCCTTAAAAAAATTAAAAAGCCTAGACTGTGACTCAGGAATGGAATTTATTTATAATCCTGCAGGAACTGACCTTTTTAAATATTACTGAGAACATTTTAGTACAGTCATACAAGTACCCAGCAAATCACTTTTTGTCTTTGGCAAGGCACAATAATAAGAAATTGGTCCTACCCATGGGAAAGGATACTTTCATACCTTTGAAAACAGCATTTGGACTCTGTATGTTGGTTGGAGGATGTAACTGAATATCAGTGATGTTTATGCCACCTCACAGAGTCTTTAGCTGAATATCCACAAAAAGGTATACTGAATCTTTCTAGAAACACATTAGGATACTAAAAGTTACAAAAATATATATTTGTAGAACCTCTGAATTCAAAACTAAACTTTGGAACTTGGGAAACTCATAGAAATGATTCTACAATCACCCTTTGAAATAATTTACTATAAATGCCAGTATAGCACTATGCTATGCATTTCCCTGTGAAATCCCTTCTCTCCTTTTGTAGGGAAAGTCATGAGGTATCAAATAATTACATGTCCATTGTTTTTGTGGAAACATACCAGTATCTGGTTATGCTACATGCAACAGGGGTGTCAAAGTGTATGGCCCACAGGCTGGATCCAGCCCCAGAGCCATTCTCTCTGACCCATCAGGTTATTGGTAGACAACCAGAAGTGGGGGGCGGTGTGGTCAAGGAGAGTGGCCCACCACACAAGCTGGGACCCTTAGGACCCAACAGCCATGGTGATCAGTAGCAGGTAAGCAAGGGCTTGATACAACCCTGGTTGCCCTCCAGCTGCTTCACCTTTTGCCACTGTTACAGCCCATCCTCCTTGGCCCCCCCACTCTGCTGCTGTGTCCTGCATCGGAGCCTAGAACTGCTGTTGTGGCACTGGGCACTTGGTGCTGGCAGCAGCTCTGGCTCCAGCAGCTCTGTGGTCTGGATCTGGCTTGGGATGCAAAGTAAGTTTGACAACCCTGTGCTATGAGATTTAATGTCAGAAGTGTCTGACACATTTTAGAATGAAATCTGAAACCACGTGCATTTTCCCTGGCTTCACATGACATTATCAACTTCAGATCCCAACCACAAAGAAAGATTTGATACAGATTTGACTAGGTGGTTTAAAACCAACGTGCTTTTTCGATCATGCCTTAAATCAACAACCAAAAAATAAATAAACCCAAACCCAACATGGTCCAAAACAAAACAAAAAACATGAAACTCTTGATTTTAAATGAGTCTTTATTTTTTGTATTTGTTACTGTAGAGTTGTATTTTTTTCAGTTTATCTATTCGTTTGTTTTAATCTTTCTTCATCATGGCTTGTGAAGTTAAACCAGCTGGCTAAATTTTTTAAGCTTGCATCAAAATTATGCTGAATTTGCCTTTTGGTAGGTTGAACCTGAACACCTTTCTAATAGGCCTGTGCGAAGCAACTAGTATTCGCTTTGGATTCAGCTGGTTTCAGGGGACAGTGATTTGATTCAGTGATTCAAATCACTGTCCCGAATTGAGTCATCCTAATTTGATTCAGAGATTCGGCTGCAGCTGAATTGGCCAAATCTTCAAATCGGCCCCATCCCCACCCCCACTCTCAATGGCTACGCGCCTGCTCTCCTAGCTCCCAGCTCGTCTTAAAAAAAAAAAAAGCCCCACCTCATTGGCTGCTGCCAGGCAGGGGGGCGATCCTCACTGCCCCTAGAAGCCACAAGGCCACCGCAGCAGCTTTTTTTGATAAGGGTCGGGAGCTGGGGCCCGGCAGGGGAGCTGGGGGGTGGGTGCTGGGACAGTGGGTGGGGATCAGGGGGCGCTCAGGTGGCCTGGGGGAGCAGGCAGGAGCCTGGCAGGGGTCCCCCCAAGGTCCCCTGCCTCTTCCTCCAGCTCTCCCACCCCTACTTACCAGCATGGAGTGCAGGTCCAGCTCCCTACTGCAGCCAGCGGGGACTGCCTGAATCACCGAAGCTCTCCGAATCTTTTCCAAATCAATTCGGAGAGCTTTGAATCCATTTGGACCTTCTAATTGGTCTCCTGATTTGATTTGGATTTGGAGATCCAGCTACCGAATAAGGCCAAATCTCCCCCGAATAGAATCAGCATCTGAAGCTTTGCACAGCCCTACTTTCTAATGGTATCTTGTTTTTATTCTAAATGCACCGTGGCTTAAAATGTACACCCACATGGACTGACACCAAAGAAGACTTTGCACACAGACACTTCCAAAGTGAAAGAGTCCCATGTGAACAGCTCTGTTTGCCTAAGGCCTAGCCAAAGCTTGGCTGATGCTTTTTATAAAGTGTTTGTTTCCCTGCCTTGTGGGCATTTACTTAAGAGGGTTTTATTGTCTCTTGGTCTTTTCCTAACTTCTGTTTTCTCAATGTGGCATCAGCACAGACACTTCAAAACTTGTCTGTTGCACTGAGTGTAACGTCTGGTTGCCACGGCATCACATGTTAAGCACCATTTCAAGAACACTTCTTTACCATTACGTAATTATTGGGATGTTGATTTACAGCTTTTTAATGTCAGGACCCATATGTTGTTGAATGATGAGGCTGAAGTTCAGCACAACAAAGCTTCAATAATGAAATATAATTCTGCCAAGTGCTGCCACGATTAGATGCTCTTGATGACTGATACAAAAACAAAATGCTGTTAAATATTTTAGAGTTTCTTGACTGTACTAAATGTAAACGGTAGGTTCTTTTGTTTAAGTAGGTTAGATGAACTGCTTTTTTAAACGGATGCTCTTCTGTGTCCGATGAGTTGCACAGCTACACAGGACAAATTGAAATTCTGTTCTTTGCTCTATACAGTGGGTAAGAAGCTGAGTACTTTTGATTATATGGCACGGTACTGGCGCACATCGAGTACAAGGGACCAGAGAGCTGATTTGGAGGCTACAAAAAATCCATCTGATAGAATGGACCCTCTGCAGGTAGGGCAATGGCCCCTTTCTGTATCCCAAAATTTCTCCCTTTTGGTGCCTATGCATTCTGCAAAACTGTTCTTGTTGGAAATAGGCAGGGTGCATCTTACCTTGTACATAGCCCAGGCTTCTATCATCAAGCAAGAAGGGATGTTTGATGGAATACAGCTGAGCCATGAAGGACTGTTACCAAGTCAGCTAACATGGTAATAAATAAATAGATACCTCTGTCAGCTTATTCTTATGGTAGGAGATGCATGCTGTATTTAGGTGCTCATCTTATGGAAAAATGGACTTGCTTTAAAAAGTAAAAGCATTTTGGATCCAGCACAGATGTTAGCTTGAAAAAAGAACTGATTAAACAAGACCTTTATTGTTGTCTTCACTCCTTCTATATGAGTGAGAGTACTGGATACGATGCTTTCCAGTTGTGTGGCTAAGCAATTCCGTTAGCAAGAGGTCCATGTGTGCATCGTGACAGTGGAGAACTGCAATCTGCAACGTCTTGGCCTATGCAAAGATAATTAACAGTGAAGTCATGCACTTCTTGCTCAGCAGAGCAGAATTCTTTGTGTCCATGTTAAAAATTGATACAGATTTTTGTTTGTGGAGGGCTCTAGTGTACTAAAACACCAGGCTGAAGCAAGCAACGTGTCAAGCATTCTGAAAGATGAGAGAACCCTTGCCCTCAGCTCCCAAATGAAAGCTGAGACTAGAAGCTAGAAAGTTTAAAGCACTAAATGTGACTTTTTTGTTTCCAGCTTTCATGACTTGTCACTCAATAAATATAACACTAACATCATCAAAGGGGAAAACCTTGCAGAAGATTATGCATTAGTAAGTAATGCTGTACAGGACAGAACACCATAATATAGTGAAGCAAATAGGATATCTAAATCTATGGAATGTATAGGAGCATCTTCTTCTGTTGATCTTAAATTTGCATGTACAGTTATCCATCAAAATGGCTTTCTGTAAAAGTGATATTTGAATACCAAGAACTATTATGTGGGAAGTGCATCTTGACTTTCAGCTGGAATACTTATTACTTTGACTTGGATCCTATGAACTTTTTAAAACCTCAGAGCCAACAAACTTGAGAGACCTGCATAGTTTACTATTAAAAAAAAAAAAAGCCACACATTCTACCTGTTCCTCTTCTTATCATGTGATGTTTTCTTCCTAACAATGTGGAGTCTCGCTTTTTAGTATAGGGACTGCTTATGATTCCTAGCATGTCTTGGGACACTGGATAAATCAGAGCAAGGATTGTTTTAACCAAGCAGTATTTGCTTGTCATTGTTCAAAATTTATCCAGTAATGAACATAGTGTTTTTACTATATTTTAAAAAGCTTTTCCCTAGCTCACATGCCCAACACAGTATAAAAGCTTGTGAAGTGCTTTGCAGATATGCTTATTAGAATTGTGTATGTATGCGTATATATAATTTTTATGTATTTATTTCTTTAGGATATGTATTTAGCAAGGCAAAAAAAGGAGTGTGAAGTTCCAGTTGCATCTAGGACCAGGTAAGTTATATTTTATATTGAACGAAGCTGCACTTAAGGATTCTGTTAGTTCTTTGTAATTCCAGTTAACTTATTTTTATCTGAAGGTTTAAAAATAGGTGTTTATGAATCCTATCAAGGTGTAGTATGTTTGAGCAGAGATTGTGTATTGAATAATACCAAAACCATTGCCACGGATGTAATGACATCCTTAAAAATATAAATCCATATGGCAGAGATGTTGGTTGCATCTCCATAGTGAAGGATGCCTAGCGATTTGCTGACAAGTGAAGACTTAAAATCCTCCCCTAAAGACCAAATTTCTTCACTAAGCTGAACCTGTTAATTTCAGAGGGCGTGTGTAGATGAAACGGGTTTACTTTGCCCTAAATTGAAGTGGTGGGTTTTCAAAAAGACCGCTTCAATTTAACGTGAAGTAAACCCCCGTATTTTATGTACATCCGTGTCTTACCTGCCTCTCCAGCAGCAGGGAGGGGAGGGTGAGCTGCCAATGGGTGGAGAGGTCCCTCGGCGGGCTGTGGGGGGGAGTGCAAATTGCAATGATGCAGCTGTCAGCTCACCCCCTGCCTGCTAAAGGCAAAAACAGCAAGGGGCCCAATCCTATATATATATTTTTTTTTTTGGCAGAGGGGCAAGCTGCCATTGCTTTAAGATTGAACACTTGAAGAATTAACTTCCTGTTTTTGGTAAAGGATACAAGTTTAATACTGACGAAGTTGCAGTAGTTTTCCAATAGATTTTCAGTTAGAGTAGATTTCCAGTGGAGAAACTCTTGTGCCTCTGTCATGTTTTGTAATGAGAAATTGAATTAGCTGGCAGTCAGTCTTACCTATCATGGTTGCTGTTCCATAAATAAATTTGTCTCACTATGTATTATGAGTAAATAGCTACTGAACAGATAAGGAACTGTTGCCTTGAATAGCTTATGTTCCAAAAGTATCACTATCTGATTGATTGACTTTTTGTTTCAGGACCTGAGACTTTGATTCTGTTCCCAACTCTGTTAGCTGCCGTGTGACCACTAAGCAATTTACTTACCCACTCTGTACTTAAATATTTGCATTTTACAGATGAGAGAAATTGATGTTTGTCAGCATTGTGTGAAGTGCATTGAGATCTACAGATGATAAATGTTTAATAGTTGGCAGTTGGTTTGGATGAGACTGCTGTCTCTGGAAACCTGACACAGTTTCTCTAATGCCTTTACAATAGTGAATACTAATATAACTACCAATTCTGCTGTGTTTTCTACATATTGGACAGTGTTATTGCCTGTCTAGAAAGAACAAGGATCTTGTATGGTTTTTTTGTCTTGTTTTTGTTTTTTTTGTTTGTTATTTTTAAATGGGGTGGAGCAAGGAAGCAATATGGAAAATGATATAGAATAACATGTGTGTTTTGCTTCTTGAATTTCAAAAGGCCCCTAGGTATTGCCATATTTACTTGAATCCATGGGCAGGATTTTTTTTCCCCATTCAATGTGGGGAGAAAAGCTCCTTGTCTTATATTTAAGTAAAAGTGTGGGGAATGGGGAGCAACTGCTGTGGCTCTGACTCTGACCCTGGGCTCGGGGTCCTGGGGACACAGAGCACATGCTGGCTGCAGTACGCCACTTCTCCCATGCAACCGCAATGGCAGCTGTAGTCCTGACTCTGGGCTGGAGCTCCTCTGCCTGCTCTCTCCCCTCCCCTTCCCACCTATCCTCTGCTACTGCTTGCTCCACTGTTAGGGTGGGGGGGGAGGGAAGGATGAATTGAAGATGATCCTCCAAAAACTAGATTCTGTATGTGGAAAATTATAACAAATTAATGCATTTTCCATGTCTACAAACTAATGCTTTGGATTTGGGGAAATGCAATATATTGCAATGGAAGTACTTGAGCAATATATAACTGTAGTAGGCTTGATTTTAACGGCTTATGAAATGGCTGATGCTTAAGACTTCACATTGTGGTAGTGTTGGCATGGTGGTTTACTCATGAAATTATGCAAAAGCAAAGTACTGTTGTCCAGGTATGAGGAAGGATCTGAAGCTCAAGCTACATCTGCTTCTTTCTCAGAGCTGTCTAAAGAGGAGCACTCTGTACTCAAAAGTTTGTCTAAAATCTCTCCCAACTATGCAGTTGGTCTGATAAAAGATAACACCCCTCATAAATATCCTTGCTTCTGGTGTTTAAAATTAAAGAAAGCCTGCAACATCATTCTTGCAAGATGAAATCATTGCAGGATTTTTGACGAATTAATGTTTGCTCTGCCCATAAAAAGATTTAAACATTAATTGGCTATTAACAATGTGAATCATATCACAGCCTGATGTTTAGAAGTGTTTGTACTGACATGCTCTGTAATTAGTTCTACGTCAGCAATGAATTGCTATTTGAGAGTTTTGTTTTTAAGGCGTTATCTTTGTCTTCGGGCTTGAAAAAGATTCATGAAATTTCAGACAAGGATCTTTGGGTGAATCTGATATCTTTTATTACAGCAACTTTAAATAGTTGGAAAAAAATGTTAAGCAAGCTTTCTGGTTTAAAAATTCATGAAAATTCAAGGCTTTTTTTAATTGGCTGTCTTTGAGCTGGTATCTGACTTAAGCTATAGTTGAGCAACAGAGTGATACCAGCTGGCCATGTGGCCCCTGAGCTGTGGAGAGCCCTGGTCCTTCCCTCCGCAGTGGTGGGCAAGCTGCGAGTGTACCAGGTGCTGCCTCGGCTTGGAGGCAGCACCCGGTCTGATCCAACTTTTCTGTGAGCCTGCCCAGGGAGCAGTGCCCAGTGGGCTACCAGTGGGTGAGCTTGGGGAACAGTTGGATCAGGCTACTTGCTGCCTTTTGAGCTGGGCCAGCATCTGGCTGGCTAGCAGCCTGCCCAGGCAGGCCCAGGGGATGCCACCACTGTGGAGGGAATGGCTGGGCCCCCTTGCAGCTCAGGAGCTGCTCAGCCTGCTGGCAGCTTGCCTGTATGCCAAAAC